ACGCTAAGAAGCAGAAGAAGATATCAGACTTCCCACAGGCACAAGATCTCGAGAAGGGACGACTCATCGCACTGCTGTGGGTCCTCCATTTTATATGCCAGTGCGACGCGCCGATCAACACTTGGGTGAAGCTCGTCCGCTTCCTAACGAAGCGGAAGTGCCCCGGCTTTTCGAAAAAGAGCTATGGAACCTACTACACATCGTGAGTTTAGGACGTCAATGTTTTTGCTCGCTCCTCTCTTATGCCTACGAGTGCCGTGTCTCACGTGGTGAGCTCTACCCCATGCAGGTATGGCTTCGCACAACTGATGCAGTCTCTGTCAAACTGGCTTCATGCTTCTCAGCTACGCCACATTCACGCGAGTCCCTTCATTGGGGTGAGTTGCGACGAGTCGACTGACCGCACTCGAGGGAAATACTTGATTCTGTTTGTAACATTTCTGTGTGATGGGCATGTTGTGACTGAGTTCAACGCCTTGCTAACACTGGAACAGTGCGATGCAACATCTATTCATGCTCTCATTCAGGAACATCTAGCCAAGATTGGCGTGCACCCCGACAAGATTGACGACATCAGCACGGATGGCGCTGCAGTCATGATGGGCTCCAACACCGGCCTCGTCAATCGCATGCGTGCCATGTCACCGTGGGTGGTATCCTGCCACTGCATAGCTCACAGGTGAGCCACACTGCATGTGTTTGCCTCTCACTTCTCGTTACCCGACCATGACTTTTGACGACTCTGGTGTCTGTACTCGCTGTGCCTCTCCAGCTACAGTTTGATCACAACCCTGATGCTTCTGCTATTTCTGCTGTGTACGCAGGGAGGCCCTCGCTGCGAAGGATGCTGCAACCGCCGTTCCAGAACTAGCATTGGTGGACAAGCTCATCCGGACCGTTGCTGAGTTGCTGGATCGCTCTAGAAACTGGCACGCGCGCTTCAAAAACCTCCAAGACGTCTTCACCCAGATGAACCTCGAGATGCAGGGTATTTTCAACATACGCTGGCTATCTCGAGGTGAGGCGATCGCCCGCCTCGTCGACGTGCTACCAGCTGTAGTCATTCTACTTCTTGAGTATGACCAGGAGATGTACAAAATCGTAAAGAGCTACAAGTTTCACCTTTTCCTCTACTTCCTGGCTGACATGCTTGGCTTACTGAACAGCCTCAACAAAAAATTCTAATTCCGTCATGTTGGTTCCTTGCATGGTCCTATTCTATTTTTCTGATCGTGTGTCTCCCTGAGCTATCTGCCCAACCCCTCTCCTACTACAGGTCGAGTTGACGGTCGTCTAGGGCCTTGTTTCGGAGGACTACATCAAGCAGCGGTACGTCGAGTGCCGCAGCAACTTTGGGGGCGGCAACTCTCCGCTCCTCACTGCATTCATCGAAGCGCACCACAGCAGCCGCGCCGTCACCATTAAGGGATACAATTCCGACGGCACATCAATCGTGCAAAAGTTTGACATGCACGACGAGCGCCCTAGTGAGGACCACGACGAGTGCAGCAGCATCTGCATGAGATTTGCCAAGGCGGCCGAGCAGGAACATCGCTGAGCGGCTGGGCGACCTGGAGAATTTCAACGGGTGCAGGCTCTTTACCCCGGAAGCATGGCCGCCAGGGAGGAAGGAGCGAAACAGCCAGTGCATGGACTGGCTGCAGAGCTTGTTCGACCTCTTCCGCGCATCCGGGCATCGGGAGGTTCTGCCAGGTAAGCTGTTGCTAACCGTGAATGAACCCAGTTGTAACCATGCATCTTGCCTGCGTGTCATCCTTATCCCCATACTAACGGCCTGCATCTATACCACTCATTCTCCTCCCCTTGCGCCCTCCGATTCTGTGCAAGTGTTAATGAGAGGGCGGCAACCAGGGAGCTGCACACTCTAATCTCCCTGCTAAAAGACGCTCCCGGGGGGAGCGGAAGTTCTACGAGGGGCTGGCGGCGATGCTGAAGTCGGATGACTGGACAAAGGTCTTCCCAAACCTGGGCCGACTGTGGGTCGCGATCGCAGTGCTGCCACTGTCTACGGTAGAGTGTGAGCGCGGCTTTAGTTGGCAGAACATCATCAAGAGCTGGTGCCGAGGCAGCCTAGGAAACGCCACGCTCGAAAACCTCATGAGCGTGGCGTTGCTCGACTACGAGCCTGATTGGGAGGAGGTGGTGAAGGTGTTTCGAGGGAAGAAGCGGAAGCAGGTCTCCACCCGCATCCACCCTCGAGGTCGGGTGAAGAGTTTGAAGGGGAAAGAAAAGGTGGTGGAGGGGCCAGGGGAGGAGTTGGATGAGGAGCCAGAGGAGGAGGTGGAAGAGGAGCTGGAGGAGGGGTACGAGGAGGGGAGAGGAGGGGGGGTTGGTGGAGGAGAGGTCGATGAGGATTTCTGGTATGCAGCTGAAGGTGAGGAGTGCAGCAGCGCCGGAAGTGAGTCAGATGAAGACGAGGAGTAGCAAGTGAACCACCACCACCAGCAGCGTCAGCTGCAACACCAACACTGGCAGCAGCAGCGGCAGCACATGGAGCAGTTGGGTGCAGCAGGAAGAGCAGTAAGAGTTCTAGCAGCAAGAGTGGCAGCATCAGTAGTATCATGCAACAGTAAGTCAACACAAAATGCAGCAGCAGTCGCAGCACCATAGGCTGTGCTTCTCTGAAATTGTTATACTACCAAGTGTATACCATGAAAACATTCAAACAAACAAGTCAAGGTTCAGTCTAACACATGGTGCTATGTCAAAATCAAACCCACCAAAAAAAAAGCATAAGTTCAACACTAACATGTCAGGCCTATAAATTTTCAGTCCTGAACTTTCAGCCTTCAATTTTTTTTACCCTGACAAAATATGCAACTTCCAAAACCAGACCCTGAAAAACGGGGGTTCCTGCTTGGGGCACCCTAAGCCAACAGCCCCTCAAAATCCAATATGAAGTCCTGGTCTTAACAGTGGCCCGGAAAAATATAGTGCCAATGTGTTATGTAAAATGCAATTTGAATTTGAGTGTTCCAGGCCATGTTAGCTCACAACTGCGCGGAGCGACTGTTAACGAGGCATATCATCCGCTGAGACGGAACTTGCAATCCAGGCGTCGTTGGTCAATCCCTGTTGAGTGCTGTGGTCTGGGCCAGCTTCGTGCCGCACCTGCGACTGTCAAGACCTGAGAGGATTTCGCTCGGGAGGATTTTGACCGTCTAATCACGGCAGAATCCGCGACTTCGACGGTTGAAATCCTCCCGAATCTCAACATTCGCTAACGTTTCGATTTCGCGCTGCATTTTGTGTTGATTCTTATGCCCGTTTTTTTTCGTTGCTTATAGTAGTTGACATTGCATTTTTCATCTTGCCTGCTTTTTCAATCGAGAGGAGCTTGAAAAATGACGGAAAACTGTTCTTTGCTGTATAAAACGAGGCGGGTGTTATGTAACCCCCGAAAAGCGGGTGCTCTAAAAAATGCACCCTATCATAATCTCTCCCCCGCATAAACCACCCGCGGAGTGACTATTTCGGCGGGTGTTATATACGAGGGATTACGATATGTATTGTTGGTGGTTGTGGCTTGCCTTATTGCATGTTATGGCTAGTATGACACACGCCAAGCATCACAGATACGTGGGGGAACAATGGTGTACATCCACCTAAACTGCCAAACTGTGCCCAGCATGACCCTAGCTGCCGATTTTACGTGAGGCTGACAAAGAGCAGAAGCTAGCCATATAAAGGGCATATGGTGATGAAATGTAATGTAATGCAATGCGTACAATGGTACGACCTTAAAACGATTTCTGAAGACTGAGACACTTTCATTGAGTTGTGTTATGACGAGTGAATACGTAGGCACTTTGCTGGCTGGGCTGGGATTGGTTGAGATCCTGCTTGGTCCCAGAGGCCAAGCGTCAGATCATTCGGACTCACAGATACGAAGTTCCACGTCATATCTTGTGAGTCTCCTGGCTAGAATGTTGACACCTGTCATTGTCATTAGATTCACGCACAGTATCTAAAAACAACTGGTCGGAAATGAGTCTCATCCACAGCTGGCGCGGAAGGTGGGGTCGTGCTGTACATAGTGCTGCAAGCGGCTGCTTCCTGCTTTCGCGACAATTTGCTTTCGTTCACGGGGTGACTGATCGGGCGTGCTGGTCTGCTGCAGTTCGTGGTCTGTTAACGGAATTTGCTACGAGGCCAGCTGGTAGACCCAACCTCTCTTTCTTCGTTCCCAACCATTGGACGCCACCCATTAACAATGTACACCCGTTCCGACAATGCGAAAAGTATTACAGAGATGTACATAAAACCATTATTTCGGGACATGAGCCAATAGCGAGTGTATTTCATGGGGGCACCAAAAAAAGCCTGCCAAGGTCGCTGCGTGGCGTTCGCTTGTCTTGGTTCAACGATCTGTGGCCCCCACTTCATCCCTACAGTGCGCTGCTGTCGCGCATCCGTGATCTGTCGCTGTCAGCGACCTGTGACCTGACTCAGGAGGAGGCGTGCTGTTGCACCCATTTGAATCGGCGTTAATCGAGGCCCCCTCCGCGGATGATTGGGTGCCCGCGTGGACCCAGGCCAGGCAGCCGAACGGAACAATTCCCCCCTCGCCCCAACCAGGCCCCAACCAGCGGACCCGTGGCTGACCCCTACGCTAAGTTTAACATGTGGTTTTGCTGGGCAACGTGTGACTGGGCAGGACAATTACAGTCTCGTTCGTGGGGGGAAGAGGCCACAGCCGGGGGGCACCGAGCCATACACACACCATACCTCAATTGCTTTGGTTCCCCGTACCCCCTGCCTGACCCCAACCAAACCACTTCGTGATTCCCGAGCCTCCCCCAGAGCCCGAGCGAGCCTGTCCTTCAAGCTGCCTTTGCCTTCGGGGAACCTCCCAAGTCTTCCCCAAGCTTCCCAAGCCACAGCCGATTCCCCCGAGAATTCTCCCCTTCCGCTTCCCCTAGTCCTTCCCCGCACGAACCCTAGCAGGCCAGCAGGCCATGGCCATAACGTTCACTGCCTTCTGCTTCTCGTATCACCTCCTCACTAACTGCTGTGCAAGAGTCGAACCATTGACCACCTTTCAGACCTGAGTCCTTTCACTTGTCTTCCCTAACGTTCAAAACTAGCACTATCTCGTCACCTTAGAACGTTTGTGTTAGTCCGTGAGATATCGTTAGCGTCTGCTAGAGCGGATATCACGTAGCCATGCCGCACAGGTTAGGAGATCCCGTTCCCCGCTTGTCGGAGAACCAGAAGACAGTCTACAAGGCCTATGGCTCGATTCCGCTATGGGTGGACGAGCACAACAACATCGTCTGCCAGTACTGCAATGGCGCCACGGCTTGCGAACCAAGGTCAGCTGACTGCAGAGCTTGACGTTTAGACTAGTTGCCGAAATGGGATCCGTGTAATTGACTTCCCTTTCGAGTACCCCATAGCTGGCCATATTCGTGGACTGTTTTCGCGTAATTCACAGTTTCTTCGGCTAGACTATACCTCCTATGGCGCTTGATCGCTGATCTTACTCCCCTCGTTCATTTCCTCTCTGACAGCCTATTCAATCCATATTCCACTCCTGCAGATATGACCCTGGTTTTTTTCCTGCATGTAGTCATCTTTTACTCCGCAGTGAATATTTTTCATCCTTGTTGAATCTCCTCTCCTTTCCCTCCGTCAGCCACGACCACCCCCCTGACGTTCCCGTATTCGCTCCTAATCTTGTTTTTTCCTCTTCCGATTCTTCCTCCCTTACGTTCGTATCATGCGCCTCTCCGACATGTTCAGCTGCCTGCTGGCGGGGGTGATGGACAACATGCGCAAGGACGTGGGGTTTCTCGACGCGGAGGACGCGCGGCTAGGCGTGCCGGTCACGCCAGAGGAGCTGAAGGACAACTTCCGGCTCTTCTGCGAGAGGGATGACGTGGCATCCCTTGTCAGCAGCCAGCGGCTCTTCGAGGATTTCGTCGATGCCAAGAGCATCGTTCTCGTTCTGCAGGTCCGTCGAGTTACCTACCGCTAAGCCGACTCCGCTTCAGTTGATTGATGTTGGCTGGCTGTTCCTCATCTTCGCATCGACACTTGTCACTGCCGTTCTATTACACAGTTATTCGTTTCTGGGTACTCTGGCTCGTCCCGTCGCTGAGTTGTTACGTGTCCGTGAATGCGTTGTCGTCCTCCAGAGCCTCGGTCCGTGGCTAGTATCCGAGGCGCAGCGCTACGCGGAGGCCGGCGGGGTGCACAACCAGCCGCGTGACCGGCTGGCGCTCAAGTGCACGCGCGCGGTGACGCTGTTTCTGCGGCTGGACCTGAACGCGCTGTCGCTGGAGGACACCATCATCCTGAGCAACGTGGTGGAGAGCTCGGGGGTCATGGAGGAGTTCGACCCCGTTATGCAGAGCAACATCCAGATCGTCATGGACCTGCTCAGCATCGTCCACGCCTTCCGCGAAATGCAGGTGCGTAGCGGTGCCCTAACTCGTCCTGCAGCCCGCTCCTTCCGTCCTTGCTTACTGTGTTGAATTTGCTCGGTCGACGTGACCTGCCTCAACCTGCTTATTTGTCCAAAATCGGGTTTCCGTTTCGTTTTATCTCTGCAGGGCAAGGATGGAGGTCTTAGAGCCCTTCTTACAGGCGAGGCACCTGCTGAGGTGGGAGGCAGCGGCGGTCGCGCTCCTCCTGCTAGCAGCGGCGGCAAGAAGCAGCCCCCTGCTAGTGCTGCGCGTGCCACCATGTTCGAGGACGACCCCACAGCCCCACGGCGGTGCCATGGGCGCACACAGAGCGGAGCGCGATGCAAGCTGACAGAGGAATCAGTGAACAAGCTGCATGGTCGCTGCGCTGATGCTGCTCGGCCGCTGGCAAGAGGAGCCAAGTACTGCAAGTTCCACCGTGATCAACAATTTATGGGGGTCTGACAGTGATGGGATGACCCCCATGGAGCCATGACTTCGCTGGCTGTTGTGATGTTCCAGCACTCCTGCACCATGTGTTATATTGCAAGGTTTCGCAGCTGCAGCAGCAGTCAATCCCCTATGCACATTATTCGGGCCCTCAGCGGGCTGGGTGTTTCAATTCAACCCAATCGGTGTAGACTTGCTGCCAAGGCAACCCCCATGTTTATCCCTTTCCAATACGTGACTTCTGGTTGCCCCAGTTAGGCCTGCAACAGGCCTTCTGGGTTGCCAGCTGACATTTTGTGAGTTTCCTGTTGTTTTTCTGCCCTAGTCCATCTAATGGCATTGTGATTAAGACTGATTATTGTCCAACTGATACTTGAAGTACAGCACCTTGCCAAAAATGGTCCATGTGGAGTGGAGGCCTTTCAGATTCCTCCATGTGGGGAAGCTTTTCAGTTTTCACGATTTCCTCACCGTATCAGTAGGTACGGGCCAACCTACATTTCACGTGTCAGTAGCGAACTCGTCTCAAGAGCGGGAGACGATCAAACCAGTGTTGTGCCGTTTTGGATCGAACTCCTCAATCAGGACAACCCAGGACTGCACAGAGGTTCCTGTGCGGTCCAAATCTATACAAGATGGTTTGTAAGGTTTCAGGTCGGTGCTGAAGCTATTCCCAGCTTTTCAACTGGCTGTCTGCGTGGCATTTCGACCCACGACCTCCGTTCCAGGTCATACATCTTGCCCTCACAGCCGCGACATATGCCACGTCGGTTTCTCAAACCTAGCCTCACAGTCACGCACAGCCCCAACCAGCCATCCAATTCGCTCAGCACCAGTACCCCTCGAGAAAGGTTCCCCCCTCCCCTCCCTTGGATTGCGGTTGGGTGAGGTTTTTTGTGGGTGAGAAGGATCAAAGAGCAATCTAAAGTGGTTGGATAGGATATTGAGCCAAAACTAATGCTTGGGGCACGCCCTCAGTGTCAGAAAAGAGCCTCGAGATTATCCCAGACCAGAAGGTTGACAGACAGACAGCTGAAGCAAATTCTGCTGACAGTTCTTCTGCCTGACTGACGCATAGACTCTAACCAGGAGTCGCTGTCAGCCACAGAAGTTGTCCGTGCTAGTTGTTCTGCTCCAACCCTCAGCCATGGCTTCTGCTTCCGCGACCATGAATGCCGTCTCGGCTGGCACCGCTGCCAAGCTGCACTGCCTTGCCTCTGGTAAATAGGATGGCAGTGTTGAATTTCGCCACATTACATAGCTGAATGGCTAATGTAATTCCGTCTTCAAGCTCATGGTCGTGATATGGGACATGCGTTCGTGACATTGCGTAAAATACGCGGTGACAACAGTACACCATGGAGTCTTTCAATATCACGTGAACCATTCCAACATCTTTGCTCCTAATACCCTTAATTCAGGCAAGGTGGCTTCAGTGTCAACCCCGGCCCTCACCTCCTCCCTCTTCGGAGCGCGTCTCGCCGCCAAGCCCGCCGCGTCTGTCTCAGCGGCATCCCCGGCGTCAAATGTGGTGGTGATGACGTCAGAGTTCGAGAAGACGAATCCGTACACGGAGGAGCTCAAGAAGACGGCAGCGTACATCGCGGCGCCGGGCAAGGGCATTCTCGCGTCCGACGAGAGCAACGCCACCACGGGCAAGAGGTGCGTTGCGTCCTGTGTGTTAACTCCGTACAAACTCCTGCTGACATTGCTACCGTTCCCGTCATCTACTTTCCAGCGTAGTTCGCGCATTTGAATCCGTACTGCACGACCTTGCACGTGCCACGAACTTGCATTGTGCTCTTCCGTGCGTGCCCGTGCGTCTCTGTGTGTGTGGTTGCTTGGTTGTGACACCAGGCTGAACAGCGTGGGGGTGGAAAACACCGAGGACAACAGGCGCGACTGGAGGGAGCTGCTGTACACCGCTCCTGGCCTCGGCAACGTACGTCCCTCCGTTCTCCCGCCACCATTCACCTGGCATACCGCCTTTTCTGCCTCAATCATCTCGCATCCCATCGCGTCTCTCCTTCCATGCTCTTCCCTTCCTTCCATGCTCTTCCCTTCCTTCCATGCTCTTCCCCTCCCACCACAATCCCACGTGTCCCACCCAGCCCCTCCCTCCCCCTCCCTCCCCCTCCCTCCCGCTCCCTCCCCCTCCCCGCAGTACATCAGCGGCGCCATTCTGTTTGACGAGACGCTGTTCCAGTCGACGGCGGGCGGCGAGCAGTTCGTGGACGTGCTGCGCGCGCAGGGCATCGTGCCGGGCATCAAGGTGGACACGGGGCTGCAGCCCATCGACGGCACCGACGGGGAGACCGCCACGCAGGGGCTGGACGGCCTCGCTGACCGCTGCAAGAGGTGCGCGTTTGCGTGTGGAACGGGGTTGTGGGACGAGGAAGGGGAGGGGTAGCAGCAGCGGCAGGGCATTGTGCCGGGTATCAAGGCGGAACGGGCCTGCAGCCCATCGACGACGCCGACGGAGAGACTGCCATGCAGGGACTTGATGGGTTTGCCGACCGCTGCAAGAGGTGGGTGTTGGGGGGGGGGCGGGGGAAGTGTTTACGGGAGGAAAGGCATGTGTACAGCAATACAGGGGGGGCCTGCCGCCGATAGATGGTGCTGACTTGGACATCCAGACGGCCTCACCGACCCATACATGCAGATGCGCCCCATGCACTCGTACAACCCATGCTCGCCACGCCCACTCACCCACTCCACTGTGCCCACTGCCATACCCGCCCTCCCCTGTCCCCCTCAGGTACTACCAGCAGGGCGCGCGGTTCGCCAAGTGGCGCGCGGTGATCAAGGTGGACGACGCCAAACACCCCTCGTCGGTCTCCGTCTTCGAGAACGTGCACGGCCTCGCCAGATACGCGCAGATCGCCCAGGTATGCACGAGAAAGGCCTCGCATCACTCACACCACACCACACCACTCCACACCACTCCACACCACTCCACACCACACCACTCCACACCACTCCACACCACACCACGCCACACCACACCACACCACACCACTCGGTTCTGTGTCGCACTGATGCCTCTTCTCAAATGCGCCTGCCTGCAGCAGTGCTCTGAAAAGCCTCGTGCCTCGCCCCATTGGGCTGCTGGTTGTTTTTCCGGCTCTCAATTGTTCCCCTGGCTCCAAATTACCCCTCGGCCCCTCCGTTGAAGGCGAACGGCCCTGGTGCCCCTAGTGGAGCCTGAGGTGACGCTGGGCGATGGCGACTACTTCCCTCTCTCTTACAAGCTCCCTTGGCCACTCTTCCCTTCACCTTTCAATGCTCCCTCGCCTCTGACCTGTCGATTGCTGCAGGCGAACGGCCTGGTGCCCATTGTGGAGCCCGAGGTGACGCTGGGCGATGGCGACTACAGCATCGAGCGCACCGCCTACGTTTCGGAGATGGTGTACTCGCATGTGTTCCGCATCCTCAACGAGTACAAGTGAGTCATGCTGTAACGAGTACAGCCGAGTGCATGAGTGGGGCATGTGATGCGAGGCGAAGAGGCGTGTTGAGGAAACAACATGAAACGGCACCTGAAGGAACATCTGAACCCATCCCACATGTGATCCCAACCAACAGAGAATACAGCATGGAGAGTATAAGCAAGGCTCAGCATGCCGTTCCGCCCATTGTGATTTCTCACACATGTATGTAACTCACACAAGTTCCTCCCATTGTTCCTCCTTTGGCTTCCCTTCCACCCATTGTGATCGCTCCCCTGCAGCATCATTCTCGAGGGCATTCTCCTCAAGCCCAACATGATTCTCCCAGGTATGCCATGCTGATCATTCTTTTCCCCTCGCACTTGGGGCACTGCTCATGGTTCTTCCCGTATGAGCGTCACTTACCAAACACAGCATCCACCCCCTACAAATTCCCAAGCCTCTCATTTTCCGAGGGTAACCCAGCAGTCCCAGACCTTTTTGGGTCAGCCCCATCCATCCCTCCAAAGGTCTTGATGCTCCAACACCACCCCCAGAGGAAGTGGTACACACGTCTGAGGCCACTTATCCTCATTCCTCTCTCCCACACTACTCTCCTGGCCCCCCTCCCTCGCCTCCCAGGTCGTGACATCCCCACCCCTTCACCCAAGAGGACCTGGCTCGGGTGTGAGCCATGCGACCTGCAAGTCAATCAACTCACACCTACCTTACTTACCTTCTTTCCCCACTTCCCAGGTCTTGACGCCCCCACCCCGTCCCCTGAGGACGTGGCGCGCTACACGGTGCGCACCATGAGGCGCACGGTGCCTGCCGCGGTGCCAGGCGTGCACTTCCTGTCGGGGGGCATGAGCGAGGAGGAGGCCACGCTCAACCTCAACGCGCTGCAGGCATATGGCCCCCACCCCTGGTCGCTCACCTTCTCCTACGGCCGCGCGCTCCAGGCTTCCACCCTCAAGATCTGGTCCGGCAAGGTACTGGCTCTCGCTTGCCCTTCTGTGCATGCGCCCCCTCCTCCTTCCCCCCCCTCCCTCCTCACTGCCCCCCCCACTTCGGCCAATGATTTCACCCCTCAGCTCGCTTTCCCCCTTACTGCTGTGGCCTATCTTTCCGTTCCTTTCTCCACCGCATTTCCGTGGCTACGCCAGTAGTTCGTCTGGTCTGCATACATTCATGCAGGACCTCCCCTGTTTTCCACCTACATCTTCTGGCTTTCCCTCGAAGCCTTTTGGCATACTGTATTCTATGGCCACTATTGGTTTCCTTGGGTGCACACACACCGCTCACATGGACTCCCTCCCCTTCTCTCCCCTGCAGCCTGAGAGCAAGGCAGCAGCCCAGGAGAGGTTGGTCGCTCTGGCAAAGGCTAACTCAGAGGCCCAGCTTGGGAAGTACAAGGGCCCGCACCCATCCCCCGGTGGAGGCCGCATTCTCCAGGCCCTGCGCCTTGGTGGTGCTGGCAAGTAAATACTGCTAGGCCATTTTGTGACAAATATTTATTTTGACTCTAGCCTTGGTCTTGGTTCTTGATATGATATGCAATAATTCGCAGTATACGAGTGGATTGCTTCATCGAATGGCTACGTACGCCTAAAGCAAGATAAGCGTTTGTAGACCAGCATGTATATCGCTGAAGATGAAAATGCGGATCAGCACATATTTTCACTGGATATTTGACATAATGCAGAAGCCTTAGCACGTTCGATATTGAATCGGGGAAGTAAAAACGAGTTATCCGGCTTGCCTTTCCCTTCGAACCCCTCAATTGTTGCTGCTGAGCTGACCCTAGGGGTTGCCGCTTGCCCGCTGGAGAGACTTCAAGCACCTCAAAATCAATCGAAGCTGTTCTAGAAATTGTCCTCTGATTGCTTGCCCCCCATCCTCGCTTCGCGAACCTCGCACGCGTCGCAATGGCTCCGCGTTCCTTCGCTAGCAAGCGGCAGAAGCAAGACCGAGCGGCGAGGGCGGCGGACGACGCGGTGAAAGCGAAGGAGCTCGAGAGCATTCTGTTCGGCAAGTCAAGCGATTACGTGGCAGACCTCGGAAATGAGCTGGCAGCGGGAGTCTTGGAAAGAGAATCCGCAGAAAACGCGGAGGACCTCCCGCCGAGCAGCGAGGACTTAATCACCGGGCATTTCGGCGAGGAACCTGGGGGAGAAACCCGGGACGCGGAGGGTTTAGCGGGGGGCGAGGTCTTGCTAGGGTTTATCGACCGTAAGAAGCAGAAAGTGGAAGAGGACGGCGGACGGAAGGGTTTAAAGGGGAAGAAGCGCAAAGGGAAGGGTTTAGAGGAGGCTGAAGGGGAGAAGCCCGCGTGGGTGGATGAGGAGGACGAGACGCTGGTTGTGACTATAACGGGGCAGAATAGGCTGAGGAAACTGCGGAAGGAGGAGGACGAGGTGGCTGTATCGGGGGTGGAGTACCAGCAGCGGCTGCGCGCGCAACACGCTAGGCTGAACCCTGGAACGCGGTGGGCCAAGGTAGGGCTGGGGACGCAGCGGAAGGAGAAAAAGGAGAAGGCGGAGAGGAAAACAGAGGAGGATGGGTCGAAATTGATTACGAGGAAAGAGAAGCGGGCCGATGTTGTTAAAGAGAAACGCTTTAACGAGGACGAGGAGAGCGAGGAGGAGGAGGAGGGGGATGCAGGGGAGCTATCCGAGGGGGAAGTGGAGGCGGTGTTCAGCGACCTAGAGCAGGAGCGGGCTGCCATGGGGGAGGACGAGGACGAGGAGGCTAGCGAGGGAGATGAGGATCAGGATGGATTTGATGCGGATGAGATCCTGCGCAACATGCCGATGCTTGCCGACCAGAGCAAGGACCGAGCCAGCCAGCGCACCACCCACCGCCTGCCGCCCGGCCGCATCCGAATCTCCCGCATGCGCGACGCCAACTGGCAGGCTCCCACTGGCGCCAGCGCCGTCACCCCATTGGCTCCCTCCCGTGCGATCCAGTCGCTGAGCTGGCACCCGAACGGGCAGCTGCTGCTGTGCGGGAACATGGATGGACGGGTGAGATTCGTCCACATCGACGGTGAGGAGAACCCCGAGCTACAGTCCATCTACTTTGAGAACGTGCTCGTCCGAACAGCCGCTTTCACTGCGGACGGCACCCAGGTGGTGGTGGCGGGGCGCAACGGCCGTAACGCCAACCGCGGTTACGCAACGGGCGAGGCGTTCAACGGGTACCACGTGTATGACATCGCGGCGGGGAGGGTGGCCCGCGTGGATGGGATCATCGGGCGGCCCAAGCGCGACCCCCCTCTCACCCGCTTCTCCCTCTCCCCCGACGGCACCACGGCCGCGTTCCTGTCTCGCGACGGGTTCATAGTGCTGGTCTCCCTGAAATCCCGGCAGTGGATGGGCAATCTGAAGCTCAACGGATCGGTTTCATCCGTCGCCTTCGCTCCTCCCGTAACGTCAGATGCTGCTGCTGGTGCTGGTGGCCCGAGTGGGCAGTCTACTACCGGGGAGCACCAGATGCTAGCCACGGGGAGCGATGGGGAGATCTACCACTTTGACCTGCGCACGATGCGCTGCATCCACAGGGGCGCCGACGAAGGCTGTGTCAACGGCACGGCCATCGCAGCGTCATCAGACGGCCGCCACTTTGCAGCGGGGTCGGACTCCGGAGTCGTGAATCTGTACGACCGCCCGGCTTTCCTCCGCAGTGGGCCGTTCGGAGGCAGCAGCATCACATCACCATCAGCAGCAGGAGCAAGCCGGAGCCGGGAATCCGAGAAGCCGCTGCAGCGGGCGTTCATGAATTTGACCACAGAGGTGGACGCCGTCTCCTTCAACCACGACGGGCGCATCCTCGCGCTGTCGTCGCGCGAGCAGCGCGACTCGCTGCGCCTGGTGCACGTGCCGTCGCGCTCCGTGTTCTTCAACTGGCCCACCGAGCGCACCGCCCTGCAGTTCGTGCACGCGGCGGAGTTCAGCCCGCATAGTGGGTACCTGGCTGTGGGGAACAGGCGGGGGAAGGTGCTGCTGTTCAGGCTGAGGCATTATGAGAGGGCTTAGAGCCATGGGAGAGGGCAGGGGTTTTCTCATAAGGTTGGAGGCGTCTGGATACATGGCTGGGGCTGTCCCTGGAGCTTCTTGATTGTGAGGATGGGAATGGGGCTAGAATGGGAATGGTCTCACTAGGCACCTTGTGTTACCGGAATGTTTTAGCTTAGATATTATCGTGTTTACAAATGTCACAAACAACTGGTTGCTATAAGCACCAGTTACATCAACCATTGGCCAGCCTGGTATTGTTTATGAGTGGCCAAAAGGACATGGAAAATAATATGAAAGATGAAATGTATGTATATGTAGCTTCATAAAGGGGTGTCTTGAAACCCTAGGAAATAGTGCCCTTCATGCGGAGGCACCTTGTGTGTATACCGAACAACTGAGCAACGAATATCGGCGCCAAAATCTGACAGACGAGCCGAGCGGTGTGTCAGGAATTCGAAACTTGGCACTAAAGCCGGCCCCATCGGATGCGTCAGGGTTTCGCTTCGTGAGCTACCACTTGCTCGGTCTTTCAGTGGCGTAGCGATTCCTCAGCTTGGGGTTTCCTAGGTTTCTCTTTCTTGTTCGCTTTCCTCGGCTTCGCGCTTTCCTTGGTTTCCAGCACTTGGCATTGTTAGCAAGTGCCTTAGTTGCCAGCATTCGCTTAGTAGTGACTATCCTCGCCGTAGTGACTATCCTCGCCTTAGTAGCTTTAGCTTGCCTCTGCGGTTGACGCTCGCCTTCGTCGCGAGTTCTCCTTCGTTGCTGCCCTCTCTTTAGTGTCGTGTCTGCGATATCGTTTGTCACGCACGTCTGAGCAGCACCACCAGTAACCTCTCGGCCTACTCACGGCACCAGTGGACATTTTCTTCAATTATTCTGAACGGTACCAGTTCCTTAGAAACCCGATCGGGTAGCCAGCACCGTCGACGATAGCATAGTGCGGTCCAAGTGATGCAGGCCGATGCTGATACCGACGCTGATACCCATGCTGATACCGATGCTGATAACGATGCTGATAACGACGCTGATACCGAAGCTGATAACGAAGCTGGTACTGATGCGCATACTGGCGCTTATTCCGATGCTGATGCAGACTGTATCCAGTGCGACTCGTCGACATTCCATGGGGTTGACATTCAGTTGACGTTCCGCCTCCAGATCGAGTTAACAATCCGCCTCCGGTTCAGTCAAGTTGATATTCGCCTATCAGCATTCGCCTATCCGCCTCCGGTTCATTCTCTGGTTCATTCGCCTGTCATAGTCTCGGTAACATACTTCACGCGAACTGACGTTCTGGTACCAGCTATCATCGCATGTGGTCGAATGGTCGTTTTCCGACGGCCGCTGAAATCTATAACGGTCGTTAACTCAAAGGTCACTGACGAGTCCGGCCGTCGTTTTTCCGAGGGTCGCTGAAGGCTCTGACCTGTCCGACGATCGCCAAAGGATCTGACAGCCGTTACTCCGAATATTGCCGACGTGTCTGACGGTCGTTACTCCGAAAATCCCCGACGGCTCGGTCGATGGTTAATCCGAAGGTCGCCAAAGAATCTGACGGTCGCTAGTACTCCGAAGATCAACGATGGCGTCGGACGTCTGACGGTTGCTTTTCCGAAGGTCGCTGACGGCTCTGAGTGGTCCCCTCAGAGTTGCTTCAAGCGTCTGCGGCGAGCGTCACTGCAGCGAGCCCTGCTGTAACTGCAAGGGTGCGTGTGTGAAAGAAGGGTGCTGGGGGGGATGCAGCAGCGCCGCCTAACGAGTCATGATTATTTTTCGTTTCGCGTCGATTCATATTTCTATTCAAGCACTGACGTCCTCCCTGCCTCTGTTATGCGTTCCGTTCCCATGTTTCTGCAAGGCACTATCCCGGAGCGGTTATGATCGCGTCCTCGCTTTCAAACGTCCCACTGACGGCTCTGACGGTCGTTAAACCGAAGATCGCCGACGGCTCTGACGGCCGCTTTTCCGAATGTCGCTTCAACGCGCGTCACTGCGGCGAGCCCCGCTGTCGCAGCAAGGGTGCGTGCGAAACTAAGGAGCTGGGGGGGATGCAGCAGCGTCGCCTAGCGAGTCATGCTGCTCTTTCGTTTTGCGTCGATTCATATACCTTTCGAATACTAACGTCTTCCGTGCCTTGTTATGCTTTCCGTTCCCCCTCTCCCTACGCTTCCCTTCCCCTGTTTCTGCAAGGCCGCACTGCAATCGCGCCGTGATAACAATCTAGTCACGGGTATCCAACCAAGGGTCGCCGACGACTCTGACAGTCGTTAATCCGAAGGTTATTGACGGCCTCTGACGGTCGCTGACGGCTGCGACTGCCGTTTACTAAAGGATCGCTGAAGGCACGGACGGTCGTTAATCTAAAGGTCGCCGGCGGCTCTGACGGTCGCTTTTCCTAAGGTCGCGGGCGGCTCTGCGTGGACCCCTCGCTTGAGTGAGCGTCACTGCAGCGAGCCATTCGGTAACAGCAAGGGTGCGTGTGTGAAGCAATGGTGCTGGGGGGGATGCAGTACCGCCGCCTAGCGAGTCATACAGCTCTTTCGTTTCGCGTCGATTAATGCGCCTATTCATTTGCTAACGCCATCCCTGCTTGTGTAATGCCTTCCGTTCCCCTGTGCTGCAATGCTCCACCATCGCAGCCTCGTCCCTCGTCCCTCGTCCCTCGTCCCTCGTCCCTCGTCCCTCGTCCCTCGTCCCTCGTCCCTCGTCCCTCGTCCCTCGTCCCTCGTCCCTCGTCCCTCGTCCCTCGTCCCTCGTTCCTAACTTCTCGACGGCCCCCACGATCGCCGGCGGCTCTAAGTGGTCCCCTCGCTTCAGCGCGCGTACTTCGGCGAGCGTCACTGCGGCGAGCGTCACTGCGGCGAGCGTCACTGCGGCGAGCGTCACCGAGTCCCGCTGCAACAGCAAGGGTGCGTGTGTGAAGCAAGGGTGCTGGGGGGGATGCAGTAGCGCCGCCTAGCGAGTCAAGCTGCTGCTCTCTGTTTCGCGTCCATTCACCACCCATTCGGGAACTAACGCCTCCCCTTTCTCTGTCTTGCTCTACCCCCTCCCCCTCCCCCCCCTGTGGCGACTGACGCTGCCGCTCTCTGTTTCGCAAGGCGTCAGCGCATGTCGTGGAGGATGCGATCGCTGTATCCACGCAGTCTCTCGGCGCTCGGCGCTCGGCGCGCTTCCAGAGTAACGGCGTTGGATTTGTGTCAAAACTGGAGGCTACGGTCGGATTAACCAGGCATGCATATCGTCGCGCGACACTCGTCTCGCTCGTCTATGGTGACTGCGCTCGATCTGCATCCAACGGTCCGTTTCGTTCCGTCCGCTCTCGATGTTGCTCCTGCTGTAACGTGGTTGTCTGCTGTAACATGGTTGTCTGCTGTAACGTGGTTGTCTGCTGTAACACATCGTTCAACTACCGTCTCGTCTCATTTCGTTCTCGATTTGCAGGCTCGCATCGAGAGCGCGTCAAGAGCGCGGCGATGGCCTTTGAGTAGCGTGCGCGCCTCACTCCGACGGTGCGCCGGTCAACGCGTCGGTCTCGCGCGTCGATTCAACAGTGCGCGCAACCAGCGTCTGATGCACGGCATTCGAGGCGGTCGAGGCCTTGGAGGCGTTTGCTGCAAGGCGAGAGCGGATTGTCCCTTCCGCCCACAGAATCGAGCATGGGACTGGAGTCCTTTTGAGGGAGCGGCAAGAGTCGCGCATGGGCGGCATGGGAGTGCGTGCGACTGGAGTCCTCTCGCCCATGGCTGCTGGCGTTGACTTTGGCGACCGACTGGTATGTGCGACGGGTAGAGCTGTGGGGGGACGCGTACCGCATACAGAGCGTCTCGAGTCCTGCTCCCTCTGCTTGAGTCTTCGCGTCGTGCCCGCAAATTCTAACACCATTTTTTGTGCTGTGCTTGTGCTTGTGCTTGTGCTTGTGGCGGTCTGGGCGCCTGCTGCTGCTGGTGATGTGCAAGGTGCATGGTGTGCAAGCCTTGCAGTGGAGGGAGGTGGGGAGCAGCACTGGTGGAAGGGAGGCGGGCGTAGCAGCAGCAGTGGCAGCCTGTGCTTGTTGGGAAGAGCACACATGGACTGGAGCAGTGGGGGCAGCCACCACAGAAGTTGCAGCAACGGTGGCGGCAACAGCACATGGGATTTCATTCTCCCAAAGCTGCTGTGGTCCACCTCTTGCAGGGGTATGTGCGAGGGACACGCTAGTGGGGGGGCGAGTACCGCATATAGAGCGTCTCGGGTCTTGTGCCCTGTGCTTGCGTCGCCGCCTCGTTTACACTGATTATGACTAAGTTTGTGTGCTGTGCTCGTGCTTGTTGCTCTCTACGACGAGGCGTGCAAGCCTGGGATTGGAGGGAGGAGGGGTGCAGCAGTGGTGGGGTGGAGGCGGGCGTTGCAGCACTGGTGGTGGCAGCCGGTCATGTTGGGAAGTGCACACATCAAGTGGAGTATTGGGGGCAGAAGGAGTGGGAGTTACAGCAGCAGCAGCAGCGGCAGCGGCAGTGGCAGCGGCAGCAGCGTAGGAGGTAAGTGGTTGAGGCGAGCTATAGGGGGGGTGCGTAGGACCGCACAAAGAGCGTCTCGAGTCGCTTTCTCTGCTAGAGTCTTCGCCTTGACTCCCACCGGTTCTAACCCAGTGTTTGCGTGATGCGTGTTGCTGCTGCGGGCGTGCGTGCTTGTCGCTGAGATCGCTCACTGCTCACAACAAGACATGGCGAGGCGTGCACGAGGGAAGCTGCTGGTCCATCTGCGTGTGCAACCAACCCTGCTGCTGTAACGTTGCTGAGCGTGCTGCTAGGCGGAAGCAGTGGAAATTGCAGCAGCAGCAGCGGCGGCGGCGACAGCAGAGGAGGTAAGTGGTTGGGGAGAGCTATAGGGGGGGCGCGTAGGACCGCACATAGAGCGTCTCGACTCGAGTCGCTTTCTCTGCCCGAGTCTTCGCCTTCATTCCCACCAGTTCCAACCCAGTGTTTGTTTGGTGCCTGTTGCTGCTGCGGGTGTGTGCTCTCTTCATCCGCACTCACCAATCCCCCCTCTCACCCACACTCTTTTCGAAGTTTCACTTCTGCTCCTTCTATTGCTGCCGTTACTTTGTTGATTTCCTTGTTTCCTCCGTCTCGCCAGCCCCATCTCTCTCCTCACCGATATTGCGCCACTTATAGCACCAGCCACAGGCCATTTAATTGTATCCCCTCAGGTGAGCCCCTCAGGTAAATACTCCAGGTGAGCTAGGTTCCCCCTTGCATGTTC